CCACCCCACCCCACCCCACGCCGCACGCAATTACAGGCCTGGATCGTGTCCAAGGTTTTCGATGGCGACGAACGAATATGCGCCGCAAAATTTTTGCAGCAGATGAGCGATGTCACATTGCCGTCCGCGGACGTCTCCTCTTTTTTGCTCACGTGTTATTTGCATTTCGCGTTACGGTTGAGCGAAACGCGGCCACGACAAAGACGACGACGCGAAGGCGGCGGCACCAACAACAACAACAGCAGACGATGGCATTCGCATACCTGCAGCGCCTGCGCTATTCACCTGACAAAAAAGACACTCGCGCATTTCTTTTTTTCCTCCTTTAATAGCGTTTAAGTATGGTTGGCCAGCTGCCGCCGAGGTGGTGGTGGTGGTGGATCGAGGTGGTGTACAGTAACCGATGGGCCGAAGTGGAGGGAGCAGACCAACGACGACGGAGACCTTGGTCCCCCCCGCGGCCGCCGAGGAGCAGCAGCAGCGGGCGGGGTCTTGGTGGACATGTCGTTCGCACAGGGCGACGCCCAGACGCACCGATCCAACCCGCTTATCAACCTTATCAAGCCGCAAAGGCGACAGTCGTCGCCGTCTTGTGGGAGATCCGCGGCTGCTCTCTGACGCCGCCCCGCCCCGCTCCGCCCAGCACCACCACCTTCCACCGCGCTCAGCAATGCTCTGCCTGTTGTTTTTATTCGCATTGCTCACCTTCGCCTTCGCGCGTCCGCGGCTCTGCCGGGGTCGGGCCGGGCGGACCGGACTCGCTCCGGCTCGCTCCGGACTAGCAGCTGCGGAGCGCGAAGTCTCGCGGACTCGCGAGGGCAGTGAGACGATGTGTCGTTGCGTAACACGATCGCCATCCACGTGCGCCGCGCTACGCTTCGCGACAAATAATATTTACTGGAGCGCGCGATTGGAGATCTCCACGGGCGATCACCCCCCTACCCCCCGCCCCCCGCCCCTGTTGTTTACTCCCACAAACACACGCATACGTCAAGTTTGGACCGGTTCGCTCCCAACCAAACAAACTGTCTCTTGTTTCAAAAGTAAATTTGATGTTCCGTCACGAGTTGTAAACTTTGTGCCAGTGCTACGAAACAGAAGTATTGCAGGTTTGCATATTCGCTCTACCCGTCTCTTAATAGGACGCCCGCTCCCGCTGGCCTAGCTTAAGGCAAACCCACAACACTGCAGAGTCGTAGCCCTGACACAAGGTACAATGTTCTTGCAACAGGAAACAATTTGGTTGGATGCAGGCCAGGCCAGAAGGTTCAGAGTTTGTAAAGCTCCTTGCGCCCAGCCCCTCGCGGCTGTGCAACCCTACCGCACTCCTGCGAAGCAGGACGGCGCCGTCCGAGAGCTATGCGAGTGTGAACCTCCCTCTTCTTATACCAGGTCACATTTTGTTGTCGTTTGTGTTTTTCTTGTTTTTCCACAAAGTAGAGCTCGCATTAGTGACCTCGTTATACACAGCGGGAGGTGTATAGAGTGTGTGTGTGTGTGTCGCGGGGCGTGGCGGGGCGTGCCGTGCCGTTAGCGTTGCGGCCCTGGTCTTCATTGAGAGAGTGGGAGTTGTGCCATGCTGCACGGGACTGGACGAAGAGGGGAGGGGATGGATATTAGCAAAGTGACCCGTTTGCTGATCTGGCTGTGCTCGCCTTTGCCGCCGTCCTCGTGCTTACAGCGGCCACAAACGATTCGGTAGTTCTCCTTTTACCTAGTTGTTGTAGTTGTAGTAATAGTGCATAACACGTCGTGGAGTCGGCCGGTTGGACCGCTGCTGTGGACCCGACACTGTCACGGCGCCAACCAACGCCATAGTATCAGCCTGGGTTCAGCCGCGAGACTAGAACCGCTCTTCTGTTTTTGTTTTTACCGGAAAATACCCGCATTGGCGCCGTCTTTAATGTAGCGCTACTTGTATTCCGTTCACGTCAGGGCGGCCGTGGGCGGGGGGGG